GTGCACATCCACTGAGAATGGACTTTACAGTGAAGTAGGAGACATCTTGTGTCCAGCAGGAAAACTTTAGAAATGAACAACATTTGCATATTCAGAGATTCTGGAAGTTTTAATGAGGTAAAAGGAGGAGATGACTTTATAAGGAAATTATACTTTTTTTTTGACACACATTATTGCTCCAAGCAGACTATGTGTGTATGTTGTAATAAATAAGAATTATTTCTGTCTGCAGACCACACACTGAACACCTTGGAGCCAGAGTGCAGTAGCAAGTGGAGGAAGTATCTTCAGCTGAAACAGCACTTTTACATGGCTTATGTGAGTTCACATATATCCTAATACAGTTCACAGTACTTTTATTTATGTAAAGGAACCTCGCTGAGCATAGGTTGTTTGGATGAAACATTGTAATCTTGAAAAAGACAGATGAAAGATGACAAACCAGGCTCAACTTAGACTTGTACTCATTAATTGTGTTTGCAGGCGTACTGCTATCATGGACAGACACTGCTGGCGAGCGACAAGTGTGGTGAGGCTATAAGATCTCTCCAGGAGGCAGAAAAGTGTATGTATATCTATGGCTTGGACTAAACATTTTTGTTTCTTGCAGCTAAAAGTATTTTTCTAACCAAATAGTGTATTAATGTATTTGTACTTGTGTGTAAGCCTCTCACTGTGTCTTGTCTCTGAGAGTATTATGTACAATATGTTCTATGAATTTTCAAATTGTATTCTGCAAACTTGGTCTGTAGAAAAGAGCAGCAAGCACAAAGGTTAAAGTTGACAGTAGTTACTTGGGTATACTAGGGTTCAGTCACATGTAGCTGAAGCATAAGAGCATAGAGGTTATGATGCAGGTGTTTCCTGTGTGTTGCTGCACTAGTTGTGGAGAATTCACATCCTGAAATGAAGCGTCACATATTTTGTCCTCGCTTCGCTGGCTTTTACTGCCTGGATTTTGCCTGTATCAACACAAAGGCTTTCTCTGTTTAGGTTACTCCCGTGCCGAGGCACTGTGTAAAGAGTACCGTCAGACCAAAGGCCCAGGCACCACAGCCAAACCATCGGAGCAGCTGTTCTTCCTCAAACTGGGCGGCGTCATCAAAAACACACTGGAGAAGTGCCAGAGAGAAAATGGCTTCATGTGAGTGGGTTGGGGCGGACTCACACAGACGCATGCGTGAAGACGCAGATACCACACACGTTGTTCTTGGGTGGAAACATCTATATCTAGATCTATATCTCTGACAAAGGGAAGTCATATTTTCGTGGAAGCGTTAATTAAACATGTTCAGATGTGCAAGAAAATTCACATATCATAACATGTCATATTCATTCAGTCACACTGAAGGCAAACCATAACCCTGTGGCTGAAGACAGCTGCTGGCATTTTTAACCTTTTATCTTTTCCATCTCAACACTAAAAAATATACTTAGTGAGTTTCTTTTTTAATAGGAATTGATCATTTAACTAGCAAACATAATATGAACTTGTGTGTAGTACTGCATATAAAGGTGTCAGCTGATCATATTGTCTGATCAACACTAGCTGTTAGCTGTTGTCAATGCTGGCCACCTGTGTTTACATTAGCAACAACTGGTTGTATGAATAGTTACTTCCCTCTTAGAAACAATGCAACATGCTCTGTATTAGATGTTTACTCTAAACAAAATATCTCAGTTTTGTTTCAGTGTGGTACACAAGTGATAGATAGTTGTAGTAGTTTTAACTACAAAACTGATACACATAGGCAACTGAAAAGTTTGCACTCCACCGCCTTGTATAGTAAATTAAATGTGCACAGCAGTTTCAGGCCCATCCCTTGTTCATCGTGGACAAAATATTCTATAAAAGTCAATTTGGGCACACTTTTTAGTTGCCTATACATACCCCGTCTTTCCCAGTCGTAACACATTTTGTGCAACAAATGAGGAGTCACATGACTTGAACTCGAGTCACAAATTTGATGATATTAGACTCGACTTGACAAAATCAAAAAAGAATTTGAGACTCAACTTAGACTTTGACACCAATGACTTGTGACTTTACTTGGACTTTACTTCACAAATTTAATTTCCTAAAAATCCAACACCTAATTTCCCAGATCCACTTTGTTTGAACCAATCCAAAAGCATCCAATCAAGTTGCAGGAGAGAACCAAACCCCCCAGTTTATTTTGAACATTAAAGCATGTAAACTTTTCTTGTAGAAAAAGAGCATAATATGGCCGCTTTAATACATGAATACTCTGTTAGAAAAATGTCCATATAATCAGTGAAGAGCACATAATGACTTGTTCAGGACTCTGGAGTTGGGACTTGAGTGCAGAGACTTGACACTGCATAATGATGACCTGTATATAAGTGGCAGACCAACATTATCAAACTCAAACATCTACTCTTAAACAAAGTCTCCTCCTTTTAAATTGCAACTGTGGACACATTTCCTCAGATACTTCCACAAGATCCCAGCTGAGGCGCCACAGCTGGAGTTGAAGGCAAGTTACGGCCTGGCTGAGCCAATCACCTTCGAGCTGCCGCCTCTCAGCGAGCAGTGCTCCGCCGAAGTCTACGCAACCTTTGACCTGACCAAGGGAGCCAAAAATGACAAGGTACTGCAGCTTGTGTCAGAGATTATTCCAACAAAGGCTGGGTGGATAACAATGAAATCTTGTTTACATCGGTGTCTGTGGCTGTGTTGTTTCATATCTGTGTTATTGTTGCTTTAACTCTAAAGGCCAAACCCAAGGAGGAGGAGGTGAAACCAGTGAAGGAGCCCGATTTGAAGCCTCAGAAGGACACCGGCTGCGTCGTCTCCTAAACTTCCCACAGATTCCATCTTCAGCCTCATGCTTCAGTACCATCTATTGTAATGATGGAATCCATATTTCTCTTCATGTAAACCTCCATTTTTGGTAATATTAATCCATAGTGTTTTACATTTATGCTGAAACATGCGTATTGTATTTGGATATGACAGCCATTATCTTCACATCTAAGCCAGAGCCAGACACATCCCCCCTGACAGCTCATATAAACTAATCCCAAAACATATAAAAGATGGAAACTTCTTTTAGGTTATTGTCAGCTGAAAGGATGACCTTAAATTAGGTCTTTACATGAGGTCATTTCAGGTAGAACGATTATAAATAAGCCGTATGTGGGTGAAGTAGTTCTACTAATGGTGCCTTTGGCTGCATTGTAAACCTGCTCACTGTGGCCCCTTACAGAAGTGTCTGCTTTTTAGCCTTTTTAGCACTCGAGTGCTCTGGCCTGATTATAGATGACACATACAATGGAAGGTGGCCTATTAGACATGCTGAAAGTGGCTTCAGGATATGGATCCAAAACAGATATTTATATTGAATATTTGCCACTACAATGAATATGATGCAGCCACCCAGGATGGGTAATGTAGGAAACTGCATTCCCATGATCAGCCTGTATGCTACAATACTTTCAGATGATGTTAATGCAATTAAAGCTGAGATTTGTTCAGAGCTGGGTCAACAGAATTGAAATGTGGACAGACAAAGACTGCATGGGTTATTGCTGGTGCATTTGGTTTGTTTTAGCCGTAGCAGTTTACAATCAATATTTGATTTAGATCACATGATGTATGTACTGTAGATCTTTTTGTACATGACATAGCTGTTTTTTTTCTACTTCTACTATTCATTTAAATAATCTTTACTACTGGATGGGGCTGAATCATTCTTTAACATACTTAGGGATTCTGTGATATATCCCTGTTGGTAGTAGTTCTTAATTTATTTCTATTGTTAGGATATTTTAGTTGACAACTTTAGACACTTACAACAGTATACAATTCTGTGTAACTCCAATCAAATGTTTTTGGTGGTGTTGATTTTCATTTTGCTCTTGTAAACTGAGAGTGCTGCTGTCAATAGTTTGACACAATGTATGTACTGTACATGTATTGAGTGTTATCTCCTTCCTTAAAGACAAAGATCGGGGCTTGAGCATTGTAAGACACTGGGGGTGCGAGTACATTTGTTTCTAAAACTCTCCCACTTTGAAAATGAAGACGTTAAAGCATACCTATCAATTGCTGAAAACTTGTACAAACTGTAATATACCGCTCACATGTACTCATTTATGGCCCTACATGTATTTTAGCTAACCTCCCAGCTGTAGTGACAAGCTAACTTTCTCACTAAATTTCCTGATTTGAACACCATTGCACTTTATATTCAGTTGTGAAGGGATTTTATTGGGGATCTAAGCTGTTTAACCATTGTTCATTATACCTGAACAGGGAATTTAACCAATCAGACCAATGCTAGTCCTTTATCCTTTTCAAGACAACTGTTTATTAAAAGGGTGTGTCAGTCAGATCACCATTACAATGTACACTCCTGAAGCTCATTATTCCTCCTCTAATGGTGTCCTTCATGTAAAATGTATTTCAATCTCTATTAAATCATCCATATAACACCATTCTTCCACAATTTGTGCTTATATATGTTCAAGTCCAGTATGCAACATTTAGGACGATCTATTTTATCTACAAAGGGAGCGGTTGCTCTTCTCCGCAGTCCATCTTGTTGAACCTCCATGTTTCTACAGGAGCCCAGAACGGTCAAACCAAACACTGACTGTAGATAGGGCATTTTGCCTTCTTTTTGAGTTTTGCGGCCACCGTAGCTCCTCCTACGTGCTTGGAAATGGAAGCTGAAACGGGTATATTTACATATAAAGGTCAGTTTTACTGGTAATGGTTAACAGTAGTTAGCCTGTGTAAACAGTTGCATATGGTCTTCTGTAGCTCTGGAAGAGCTTTGTCGAGCCTAAGAAAACAACTGTGGTGATGTAATCAGGGTTATCTCACCTTGAGCGTGGAGACCGAAAGCCAGCATTTCAAAAATATGCGGCATATTACTCATTAATACACTTCAGGTTAATGTTCAATGTAATCAACACACTTTATTTTATGGATACATTCTATGTAGATGCATTGACTGCCCTTTTTAAAGTTTGCACAGTGCAGTATAAGTTGAAAAAAAAATGACATTCTGCTCTGAAAAGCTCTTTTGAGGATTAAGCGACTAAAGGTGGCAATAAACCTTGACATTCCGCACACCGCAACAAGCCCAGCCCCTCAAGGCCAAGAATGAAACTGATTGCATTACAGTGACAGCACTGGAACTACTTGCCTGTGATAGGGTTTGCACTGTGTTTGGGCTGTCTCAGGTTTCAAGACTGATCCTGTATCCTGTAGTTGTTTTTTTCTTCACATAGCAGACTCAGCGTGGATGGACATTTGGGTACAGCTGTGACATGAGAAAGAATCAACGGTGCTGCAGTGGAGCCATAAAGAACGACTTACAGTGTCTGAAGAATGAACAACAGCCACCAGGAAGTAAGTGCTGTAATAATGAAGCAAGACAAAGCATGTTAGCTTAAGATGTGTTCAGTAACACTAGCAAGTTACCTTCAAGTTCAACAGCTGTGTGTGACTAGCCATTGGTGAATCACTCAGGAGCCTGCTGCAGTCTGTGTATACAAAAGCCTATAAAATGACCTTAAATTAGGTCATTACTGGACATAATGTGCCGTAAAGACAGCGTGTCAGGCAAATGAATAAGAATACAGTTTATCTAAAGCCCTGTGCAATCTGTCAGACATCACTAGACATCCAGGAAGCCGAGTTTGGGGGCCCTGACGTGTCCAAACAGAGGAGGGTCATCCACTTCTCCAGCGGTGAAACTCTGGAGGAGGACGACAGCGCGGAGGAAGAGGAGCAGCCATCAAACAGACCTCCCTTTAAAGAAGCTGCAGAGAGGGTGGGACACTGTTTACTAAGGGAAAATGTCACGTGAGATGTCGTTAAGTAGCCGTCACGTTACCTGTTGTTTGTCTTTACCTTCGCAGGCCAGGTTGTCATTCAAGAATGTGGCCATTCTAGTTGGGAGGATTTCACTGCTGAGTACGTAATGTGGCAATTCAATACACTCAACGCACACTAAATGAACATTATAGGCCTAATTAAAGCTATGAAGAAAGTCTCACTGAGTTACTGTGTTGCTGTTTCCAAAATTAGCTTGCGATTTCCTTGGAGAGAGGCTAGCTGGTGCACTAGGACTGAATGCAGCCAAATACCAGTACGCCATTGATCAACATCATCGTGACCACAAGGTAATGTAAAAAAATCAAGAGCAACAAAATACTGTCAAAAAGTTAAGTACAGTGTCATCTCAGAGACGTTTTGTTCAATAATAGCAATAATAGTTCAATATTTGTCAGGGTAGAAAATGGGATGTCTGTTAACAGCACACTGGCAGGCCTAGGGATGGTTATTGCCTTGTATTCAATTCTCTGCATTTCCTTTATCTCACTCACAGACAACAAGCAGCCAAGCCAAAGATGACCTCAGGGAAGGTCAGGTAGAGACGATCCGCCTCTCTCCTGGACTGGATGGGAGTCATTATGGAGCTACAGGAGATGTAAGATGCCCTGCGGACTCCCGGGAGAGCTGTGACGAGAAACATATGGACAGGAATGAAGGATGTCACAACAGAGGCTATCAAGCCGATGAGGATTATTTGGAATAATACTGATAGAAGAAAAGCAATGAATGATTAGATGTGAACGCCCTCGTGTAAAGTGTACTGTGTAACAAATGATGCAACAATGCTTGCTTAAAATGGTGGGGCTGTTTGAAGTATGGCGTTGTTGCAACAAAACTATGTGAAGAAAAAAAGTCACACGGACAGACTTAAAGATTTCAGCATATGGGTAATGCTGTGCAAAGCATGGTGCAAGATGGCAATTTTGTTAATGTAATGGCCAAAATAAATCAACTATTACTATATATGCATGAACAGCTGGTTTGATTAATATATGTAATAGAAATATAGTCATAAATAAAGTATATACAACCAATCAGTGTTTTACTCAGTTATAATAACAAACGATTGATTGTTCAATAATAAAAAAGTGAAAAGACATCGACGAGGATGGGATTCGAACCCACGCGTGGCAGCACAATGGAGTTAAAGCAGTCATCGCCTTTAACCACTCGGCCACCTCGTCCACAGTACACCACGTAATCACTGACATTAAAAAAGACAATCAAACCTAACCCGGCGAAACCTACAAGATAACTCTCGAAAGGCTAATTTCATGTTAGCTAAAAAAAAAACATATATGGCATACATGAGGAACGTAGCTTGCTAGCGTTAGCTAACGTGCTAGTAAGCTAACTTAATACGCCAAACTAAGTAACGTTAAGTAACTTAACGGTAACGTCGAGTTTGCGACGTCAACAGGTAGCTAGCTAACGTTCGTGTTAACGTTAGCATACGTTTTCTGCCACGCCGCTAACCAAGTTAACTTATAACTCATATGTACTGAGTTTGTTGTTGAAAAGCTAACGCTGAACGCTGTAAGCGGACCCTGTAGCTGCAGCCACGGCAATGCTGGTGTTAATGAATGCTAACAAGCGCTCTTGACGGGGTTATTTTGACAAACTCCGTTAAGCTCGGTGGTTAATGGGTTGTGTTCAATTGATGCAGACACACGCCGTAACTAACTTACGCTGTAAAATGCTAAGAGGCAGAATCTCATTTAGCATCACGTTTGTTTCCTTCAGCCCTCCCTTTAGGTCCGTGTGTGTCTTTAGTGTTACATATCAACTTCAGAAAATGACATCCAGATTACCAAAGACAGTGCTCACTGTGTGCAGTAAAACGAAACATTCCCATTAGCAAGTGCAATTTGGAGAAACTTAAATATCACAAATAATATAATTTACTGTTTGAGTGAGACAGGGAGATGGGAGAGGTATTTATTTTAGTCTTTCTTAAGAAGAGATTTTTATTGTGAAAACAAAGTCAAAGGAACTGTTCAGTAAAATACGTTTTCCTCTACAACTATTAATCCACAACCATAAAACCAACTGTTGCCTCACTTAGGGTCTATCTTACCTCTTCTTTGCTGCATGTGTGACAATCTGTGCACAGGCTTTACTTTAAAAGGCACACTGACACTGTTTGTGAGTAAGAGGTAGTTTCTACTGAGCAGTGCTGGTCTGGGTCTTTGTGTCCATCTAGTGGCTGAATGTACCTTCACTTGACATCTTAGAACTAGTGGTCGACCGATACGGCTGATATTGAGATTTAGAGAGCAGGGCTGCCGATGGCCGATATATAATGCCGATATGAAAACAAAGAAAAGTCATGTATAATTATGTTCTATAAGAAATTCATGCACATGTTTACAGCAGGGTGCACGGGAGTTATAGTACAGGGCTTGAAAACAACATTTTCACCACCTTCCCAAAGCTCACAACTCATGACTGCTAACATTGTTCCACAGCAGAGACTCAGACTGAAGTTTTATTTATCGGCCTCGTGAGCATCAGCCAATTTTATCGACATCCAGCAATCACTTTCAAATCTGTGTGAGTTTCCAGTCGATCCGCGTACTTTTGCAGTTGTTTGGGAAATTGAAACATCTGGATAACACCAGGCCTGAAATGGGGAGAGCTCGCAAACTCCAAATAAAAAAAGCCCAGTGTGTCATATTTTGTTTCAAGTTCCTGTAAAGTGACACACCATCGGTGAGCTGGGAGGACATTTCTGAATTCGGGGGTGCTGTAAAATGTTACAACAGGATAGAATAATAATCCAGATAACAGAGTGTAAAAAAAGGGTGCATGCCACTGCAGCCTTATGCACATGCACAAACTTAAATCAGCTCACCAATCAGTAACACTGTTGAGTCAAAGTCCCTCAGTTACTCTTTACAGGCGACATAAACCTCATCGTGGATTAAAGGTCATATCTCGGCAACATGCACATTTAAACCAAAGCAGCAACATTTACTTGCTGACACTCTGCGTGATGATGGAGAGGGTGCTGTTATTGTTTGGACTCGTGGCTCTAGCCACTTCTTACGCTGTGAGTATGAATTGATTATTGAGTAAGCATGGTGTGAGGTGGATATTAACTGTGCGATGACTTACACTGGTTTTGTTTTATTCAGAAACCTGTTTCCCCCGAGGTACATGGTATGTGAAAAAAAAGGATCTTTCCTAAATTGAATAATGTTGTTTTTACACGCTGTGAAAAGACTCTGAGCCGTGTCTGTGTTTGTGTTTCAGAGGTGTATGAGAACGGTGAGGATGAGAACCCCATCCTAAACCTGGGTGAGCTGCAACATTTCTATTGGTTTTTGCTCCATAACATACACATCAACACAGCTGTATTTACTGGAATAAAGTGTAAAATGTTGAGTAAAGCTGGGTGTTTATTGCTGAATGAAATATATTGTTTGTACCTGTGCTTGCAGGTTCAGATGCCAACCTGTTTGAAGGGGACATTTTGATTCCAGTAAGATGCATTTTTATTAATGATTTAGAAAAGTGCATTTGCTGAATCACTGTTCCTAGATTGTTGTCATGTCTCCTCCTGAGTAACTTACAGTGTAATATCAGTATCAGATAACAAGATGGGTTTTATTGTGTGTGGATTTATTAGCTTTGTTTATGATTATGGTCATAATTTGCACAATTCCTTTTTTAAACACCACTTTGATGGTACAGGAAGGAAGGAATGCCCTGATTGACAAAAGATACAGATGGAAATTTCCAATCCCTTACATTCTGGGTGATGATTTGGGTGAGTTTTTCCAATATTCAGTGCACTCTGAGCACTAGATTGACTGTAAATACTCACATATCTCATATGTATGGCCCAGAGTTAGCCCCAGTTTGTGCCTCTCATGTATTATGATTCCAACTAAGTCACAGAGATAAGCATCTGAGTTTTTGAAAAACCTTCTAACCACCTGGATGAAAAAAAATGTTTCTTTCACTCGTCAGACCTGAATGCCAAGGGCTGCGTCCACCAGGCTTTTGAAATGTATCGGCTGAAGTCTTGCATTGACTTCAAGCCTTACGAGGGAGAGAAGACATTCATCAAGTTTGAAAAGAGAGGAGGGTATGGCTCTAGCTGTCTTGTGACATGTGTTTACTACATTTGCAAAGTCAGCTGTTGATTGCTGCTGCAGATTAGGTACTAGTTTAAGGAGTTACAGTATTTCTGTAAATTACCCCATGACTCTCTGTCCACTGATATTATCTTTAATTATGTACTCAAGCTCCCGCTGTGCGTAACTCAGAGAAAAAATTATTTAAAAAAGTGAGACTAATGATAATGCTAAGCTAAAATGCTAAGCTACCATAACAGTAGTAAAACTGATGAAATACAACAATATTTTCCATTAGCATTAGCTAACATTAGCCACATTAAGCTGCTGGTACTAGCAGACCAAGTAAAGCTGTAGCAGCTGACTGTACTGAAGTAACAGTGTGTTTTATGGATTATTAGTTCAAGGTTTATATTTTCTCTGTAAAGTTACAGACTCAGTCCTATTGTACCCCTATTTAGAAATGTGTTAAAAAAAAAATACAAAAACTCAATTTCTTTGTATTATTATAAATAACTTACATTTTAGTTTCAACCAATAGTAACATGACATTCACCCGTAAATCAGTCTTCAACTTTTAGTGACATAGAGCAAAAATTAAAGTTAGCAAGCTAGCTAACAGCATGGCTGGATACATGTGGATTTTAAATCTTCTTCTGAGTCTTTACAGAAGTGCAGTACTAAATACTCAATCACTGCAATGTCCCTTTAAATGTAATTGTATTATTTATTTTTTGTGTCATTTTGTATCAGAACTGTAACTGACTGCTTTTACTGTCATAGGTGTTTCTCCAGTGTCGGTGACCAGCAGACTGGTCAGATTCTGTCTTTGGGTCCAGGCTGTGACCACAAGGCGGTGATTGAACATGAACTACTCCACGCTGTGGGATTTTACCATGAGCAGTCCCGCACAGACAGGGATGACTATGTCGACATCTGGCTGGATCAGGTTTCACCAGGTATGTCTTTTAACTTCATGGTCCACCATTGTCATTTATGAAATTGAATGTTGTCAGCTTAGATATTTTAAGCCCAGAAATGCCTACAGTACATCTTTAACCCTTATTATGCAATTTTGTTTGAGGAATGAGTGAATGAACATGAATTTCCTGCAGGACTTGAACACAACTTCAACAAATACAACGACGACTTCATCACAGATCAAAACACGGCGTACGACTACGAGTCCATTATGCATTACAGGCCCTTCTCTTTCAATAAGAACGAATCCATCCCCACTATCACCACCAAAATCCCAGAGTTCTACAACATCATTGGCCAGTACCTCGACTTCAGCAAGATGGACATCCTCAGGCTCAACCGGATGTACAACTGCTGTACGTATATGTTGCAAGAATAAAAAACTTTTTTTCTGCAAGTCTTAAAGGTTGACAGTGGACAGAGTGCAATATAATTAGATTAATATTATTAGAGAAATTAAAAGCCTTGGGAAGTAGGAAGTGTGTAAAAGTCTGCTAAGCACAAAATAGGCCAAAAGTTTTAAACAACTCTCCAAATCCTCACCCCGTCCCTCCCTCCACAGCTGGTCCTCTCACCCTCCTGGATCAGTGTGTCTTTGAGTATGCCAGCATCTGCGGGATGATCCAGGCCTCCTCTGATGATGCTGACTGGGTCCATACTAAGAGCAGTGTGGGTGCGGAGGATCACACACTCCTGGGAAAATGTAGAGGTCAGAGTTGAATAATGTCTCTTTTAAAATACCAATTACTGATTATTCTCAGCTCAGACAGCATGAAAGAAAGTAAGAGAGAAAGAATTCACTTTAATAGCTTGTCTTATTTTGTCTGCCTTTCTAGATGCTGGGTACTTCATGCACTTCAGTACCATGACTGGGTCGCCTCAGGAGTCTGCGCTGCTGGAATCCCGAACCCTGTACCCCAAGAGGAAGCTTCAGTGTCTGCAGTTCTTCTACAAGATGACTGGAAGCTCCAAAGACAGACTGGTGATCTGGGTCAAGATGGATGATGGCACAGGCTCCGTTCGTAGAATGAAGAAAATACACACCTTTTATGGTACTTATTATGTGGGGATGTTAATGGAAGAGACAGCTGCTACGTGGCATTTCACAGTAAATCCTTTGCATAGAGGCTAAGGTTCATTTGAACATTTGTTTTGCTTAGTAAAATTATATTCAAATCAAGTTATTATCATAACATACAAGACACATACAATACACTCTCTACACAGTCACACACAATCAGTAGTGAAAGGTTTGGGATAGTAACATGTTAATCATTTGCTTTCTTGCTGACAGTTAGATGAGAAGACTGTCAAATGTCTTTATGCTAAGTATAGTACAACCAGCAGATGCCAAGCTTAGTTCAGCCTGATGACTGAAAGCAAGGGGAAAAAATAGCCTGCCTCTATCCAAAGTTGGATAGGTAAGGTTGCTTGTGTCATTCCAGGAAATCACTGGTCTCACAAAGAAATTGTTCTGGCAAGTAAATCCCCATAAAACCTATATTTGCTATCTTTTACATTTTTGTTTGTATATGGATTAAAAAGGGGTGGTAGTTGGCAGATTTCTTAAACATTTGGACAGAGCTCGGCTAGCTGTCCCCCTCTGCTGCTAATCTGCTAAACTAAGAACATACAAATAATATTGTATTGTATACTAATACATCAATACATCATATTCATCATCTTGTTTCCCTGTTACCCAGCGGATTCTGACCACACATGGAAGATTGCCCATGTCCCAATGGAAGTAGGGGTGAAATTCCGCTATGCTTTCCAAGGTGTGCGCGGCGATCCCTCTGCATCCGCCGGTGGCATCTACATCGATGACATCAGCCTGACCGAGACACGCTGCCCCAACGCCGTGTGGAGGATCCAGAACTTCTCCAAGATCATGGAAACAGCTGAGCGAGACGCAGTTATTGACAGCCCTCGTTTCTACAGCCCTGAAGGCTACGCTTTTGGTGTCCGCATCATTCCTCTGTCGACTTACACTGATTACACAGGGAACTACACTGGGCTGTACTTCCACCTGGCCAGTGGTGACAGTGATGTGGTGATGCAGTGGCCAGCGGTAAACAGACAGGCCACCTTGGTGGTGATGGACCAAGACCCAGACATTAAACTGAGGATGTCCACTGCTCGTAGCCTCACGACTGATATGAGGACGAGTAAGTGCTCCTTATCTAAACATTTTCAAGTTGATCTGATGCATCTTCACCTCAAATAACTTGGACAAATGTGTCTAATGCGCTGACTTTCGTCATTCCATTGACTTTATATGCAGTTGCTCTAAAAAGCTAAAATAACCTCTAAACTTTGCTTAGTCTGAATACACCTTGAGGCTATATTTAACACACAGCATGCTAGACTTTGCATGCAAACATGTTCGTGTAATTAGCATTCAATAGTCATTTTGTATTTGGTAATGGACCATGGTATTAGACACATATAAATTTGGATCTAATGATGGCACTACATGAAACAACAAGGATCAACAGAGTTATTGCAAGTTATCCTAAAGGGGAAATGAATGTCTTTATTAGCAGAGACATTTTACCCAAAACAATTCACCACCTTGTTTCTGTTATGACAATCCACCCAATAGTTGTTATTTCAGTATTATCAGTGGTGGAGTGACCGACCAACATCCTCATGCAAAAATCACTCAACCATCACACACTGATCACTCACATGTTGGCTCTGTCTTTTTTGTCCTCTAGCATCAGATGGAAAGTTTTTCTGGGACAATCCCACCAAGGTAGGACATTTTGATCCTTCCTGTAATTGCTTCAGAGGTGGATCTTGGGGCTGGGGGAACTTTGTCAAGCACTTTGACCTCCGACGGCGTAATTACCTCAAGAACGATGATCTCATCATCTTCATTGACTTTGAGGGTTAGTGGTTTTTGTTCAATATTTGTGTGTTAAAATACGATACTAGTCCCAGTGTGGTGTTTTGAAGCGTGATGGAGACCTGATGAGTTATGATTTTTGTTACAGATATAACATCACTGATCAAAACAGAAGTTCCCATTAAGCCAAAGGAGTGAGGTCACACAGGATTTTATATCATGATTAACTGGAGGTAAGACAACAGATACCTTTCTATTTCAAAAATAACGTCACGTGTACGTGTTCATAGTCATGTGAAAATGACTTTTCTTCATTTAAAATAACCAGATGCAGCTGGGACGAGAAGAACAACCTGTGAAGATGAAGAAAGGCTGGAAGATTATTGCTGTGACACAATATTAGAATTATAAACATAATTTACAAAACATAAAATGCTATATTTGGTCTATAGTCTTCATATAGGAGTTCGGTCTAGACCTGGTGCCTGCATTTGAAAAGTGTTCGCTGAGATAACTGTCTGTTATGAATTGGCGCAAAATTAATACAAATAAAATTGAATGTGAATGAATATATAAAAGCTATGCATGAACAATTATTTTGAACAAAGTCTTTCACATTGGATCTGTGTTAAATAAAAGCTATTCAGTTAAGGCTGTTGAAGAGCAAGCCCTGTGATAATGTTTCTCTTGTTTTGTGATGCAAAAAAGCGGCTGCCATATGAGTGTCCATTAGAGTCTACTCCCTAAGTTTTAAATTGATAAACTAGCATTTACGTCTGTTTGTCATTTGTTATAAAATGAGGCAATAAGTTGATATATATACAACAATGATCAACATGATTTAGATAAGAGTGTTGATTTTGTTATATGATTAATACTCTAAACGGTCAATTAACACATTGAAAATTATTTTACTGGTCACCCGCCTGTAAAAAACAGTTGGTATTGTATTCTTTGTCAATCCTGAGGAATAAAGCTGAGGGAATTAACAAAAAGTTACTTTGCCATTAAATGTAGGATCCAGCTGTTTTGGACACCAAACAGTCAAACGCAATCAGAGGTTTAGTAAGACAGGATTACGGGAAATAGGAACATCATTTTCCTACGTAACTAGGCTATATGAAGCTATAATTCATGTAAATAGCAACAGAATCAATGTAAAACACATGCTTTGGTGGGATGGACATGTCACAATATAATATAAAAGTCCCTCCCAAAAACAAACAATAAATGTGGTTAGCAGGAAGCACAATGGACAGACTGAATGAATGGAATTCAGTCTGATTTGTTCGGACTAGATTGACGCCCGCATTTAAAAGTCAGGATAAGTTATTTGCTGGCTTCAGCTTTAACGCATTGTTTTTTAAATTCTGTTTCATGTCCCTGAACTTTGGCAGTAAGTGCAATAATAAAATTAAAAGAGTCCGTTTAAGATAAAAATAAATCAGCTGCGTTGACATTTTTATAGCATAAACAGGCACAAATCATTTTATAAGATAAGGGAATTTAATTCAGCACTTACTCAGGAGTTAGAGGTGTAATGGAAGGACAAATTAAATGGCCTGTCCCTGTGATCTGCCCTTTGTTTCTATCTTCACTCTCTACTCACGGGCACTTTAATGCACAACCTTGAAGGCATTTATCACTGATAAAAATGACTACAGGGAGGAAATGGAAGGAACAATAACACTAATAACGGGTAACAAATCATATAATTATGGCTATGTCATGCTTTTTAGTAATGCATGAGCTCCATGATGATGACTGAAGATACTGGAACTAACTGAATGCTGTGCTGTATTTGAAAAGCCTGGAAATGAGAAGAAGCAAGACAGTGAAGTTTGAGAAAACTAGCAGTGGTCACGAGACTCTCAAAAAGCACCAAAAAAACGTAACGCCTATCTAGAGCTTTAGTTTGTCCGCTCTGGTACTGTAGAGAAAGCCATGGCGGAGCTCGTTAAAGACCTGCTTCCTCTGTAGATATAAAAAGCGCTCAATCTAAGGTAATTGAAAACATTAACAATTCCTATATTCGGTGATTATACACTATGAAAACATACTGAATATTATATTGCATTTCTGACAAATAGAATTTTTCCTCACGTTACACACAGGACATTTAAATATAAAGAAGTGTAAAGTTAGCAATTGTAGTGAAATGTGAACTGATCCAACGATAAAGTCATTGTGACTTTACTTGTTTAATGTTGAGGAAGAGGAATTCCATTAACATCTGCATTCATTTTATGTTTTTTTAAAGCGCTTAATGAGTCACCCATTTGTTAAGCATTACTTAAAGGACCAGTGTGTATGGATAATGGCATGTTAGTGGTGAAAATTGCAGATTGAAGTTGCAGAACTGTTTGAATCAACTCCAGGCTTCCAGCCATGGTTAACAGATACTCACGGTGGCCACCCAAAAGGCGCTTACTAGAGCCAGTGTTTGGTTTTGTCTTTCTGGGCTACTGTAAACATGACAGTTCAATACGGTGGAAGATGCTGACTTCTCCTATGATAAAACAGCTCATTCTAAGGTAAAAAAAAACCCCCGATTCTTATTTTTTGAGTGTCTTACAGCTTAATAAAACTACCTAGGGAAATTCATGAGTTTCCATTTCTGCTAATAGGATCCTTCCCTAAATACTTACAAATTGGATCTTACAGTATATGTATTTGTATTCTTATAAAATGTTACTGAATGAACCGTAAAAGGCAGTTTCCTCACTTAACACAAAGAAGATGTGATTTTGGTCCAAACAAGGCAGCAACAAGGCGTTAAAGAATAGTCCTGTATGACTTTGTAAAAGACAACTGTTCCCTCAAACGACAGAGAGGTCAGAGGTCAAACTCATTATACCAACAACACAAGCAATTGCTGTTTTATGTGACTTAAGATCAGCTTATATCCATCGTATTCGTGATTCTGTTGCCGTCTGTAAGAGTCGGAGTTTACTGCTGTCATCAAGCTGTGCATGCCAGAAAACCGTGACAACATGTCACGCTCATGTAATAGTGCAGTGAAGGAGCATGATAATATGTGAAAATTCTTTGTTCTCATTAAACACATAAAACCCGTGATCAAGTTCCCCCTTAACAGCTGCTGTGCTTTATGGGCATGTTTATTCTGGCATCAGAGAAACACGTTTCTGTCCTGTTATAACGACATGGGCCTCTGGAGAGCCAGTTTTGAGGAAGATTACTGCGCTGATTGGAGTCTTGTGGTTTTAAAGGTAGGGCAATCTTTTAAAGTATTCAAATTGAATCATGCAGGATAAAGATAGAAGAAATCTCCTTAGTTAGGTTTAATAAAATGAGATGTGCGCATCTTTTTCTGTGCAGGTGCAAAGCCTGTTCCGACAGCGTACCGGTTGGTTCCTATTAACTTTAAATGATCATATTCACATGAACGCAAGCTTGTTTGTTACTTTCACCTCTAACAAGTATGATTGTATCTTCCAGGTGATAGAATGCAGATGCTGTGAACTGAGGGATGACATCTTGAACATTAACAGAAGGTATACTTTTTATGCCCCTGTCTACTGTTGATATGTGCACAGTGAATCATATGTTCTACTGACTGATATTCAAATAGTCAATTGTGTATACTATAATATATACATGGTGTTTCACATTTTAGGGTTAGATCACGCTGTTTGAAGGGGACAGTCGCTGGTAATGTAAGAAGAGAGTCTGGGTATGAAATTAGTGGTTTTTTCAGGGATTTACATAAGGTATAGTATCTCAATGCTTTCAATGTGTCTTGCCAAAGCCAACAGAAATGCAATCCCTTGATCCCAAAACAAGAAGATGGAAGTTCCCGCATTTGCCTATATCTTGACTGACTTCTTTAGGTACACACTGTGCACAAATTGAATACATTTCTACCCAGCAAGTAATTTCATGAAAAAGTAAATGTTTACTACACGGGTGATTTGGAAATTAAATTCCATTATTCTAAGAACTGGAAATGCTAAAGGTGTGATCCTCAGGCTTTTGAAGGAATACGCGTTTGAGGAATCTGTGAGAGCTTCAAAGATCGCTAACGAGGGAGAGACGCAGCTAACATCTCCTTCCCACACAAAGCTGTCCTGGGTGAGGCTGCAGTATGCCAACACTGTTTCAGGAATGATCTCTACTGCAGCATACTTTAATGGCCATGCTGTCAAGTCCATCCAAACTTAAGGCAATAAGAACCAAAGATTTAGGAAATGCTGGATGTGTTGAAATGCTTTTTTAAAGGCTCAGTAGATAGTCAGGAGATTGTGAAGTTATTTGAATTTTCCCCCTTAATTCAGATGCCTGGTCATAATGTATGGAGACGCATAAAGTAGCGCCAGAAATGTGTGCCATTGGCAGCCGGGTGGAGACTAAGGCCATTGTGCAAACATGAGCTCCTTCCACGCTCTGGGCCTTTACCATGAACAGTCTCCTCAGTAGAGAGACTATGTCCAATCTGGTGGGACCGAGATTGAAGAAGGTCGGTCACATTTCTTTATCCAGAACCCGGCATCCTAAAAACTTTTTTTACAATATATATTTTCATATATTCACTGAACCCATGTTCACATTCATTGAATTAGGTTTAAGATTAGGGTTATAGGGTTAGGGGGTTTATATCAAGATGTCATACTTGCAATTTAAATTTTTTTTTGGCAACCTTTAAAGGTCCAGTGTGTAATATTTAGGAAGATCTTTGGAGAATTGAAATATAATATGTATAGGTTTTATTTCATTAGTGTCTAATCGACGCTGAATATAGGAAATTGTTGCTTTCGTTACCCTAAGAATGAGACGCTTTTCTGCAGCAGAAAACGTGGAGTCCGCAATGCTTGAAACCACCCAAACATTTCTACAGGTACCCAGAAAGGACCAACCAAACACTGGCTGTAGAATTAGTGCCGCTTCAGTGTTTTTATACAACTTTTTACTGCAGCTTTCTCCAAAACACTAACGCAGCCGGGTTCTCAAAATTCAAGCTCTCATTCAATGTTCAAGTTGCAATCTGCAACTTGCAACAGCTTGATGCCACTAAATCCTACCACACTGGAGGTTTTATAGGCTTCTACATATACATCATCCTGTGTGGAAAGTACTTATAAGGAGTTGTTGTTTTCTCCCTCCCCACAGGAAAGGAGCAAAATTTCAACAAGTTGAAGATGACTTCATCAGCCCTGATATGAAGCACAGGCGTAATGATTATGAGGTGCATCATGTCACTAACAGACCACCCTGTCTTTCAACCAAGGAACGAGAGCATCCGCCACGAATTACAGCCACATACCATATTTTAATGAGGCATTGGCCCAAACGGCTGGACTTCAGATGCTGTCGACATCCAAAACAGGCTCACCGCATGTATGACTGTGGTGAGTGTCTCCTTTTGGAGCCTACATAAATGTTAGAGAAAAGGCAACGTGTACGCACCAGGCTCCAACAAATTCCAGGTGTTGGAACT